CGTTTGTCGTTCCCGTCTGCTGCCAGGACCCCGCACAACGCCGTATACGTGGAACAACACGACAAGGAGCAGGAGAAGAGTGGCCAGCAGCAGGAGGGGGAACCGCCGGAGGATGTCTTCCATGATTCACAGCACGTGAGGCTTGTACCAAAGAAAGCTTGCATCAATGCGCCGGGCAGTAGCCTACAAAACACGCTAGGCAGATGACTGCAGATGACTGCAATCAACCGAGAGCGCTTCAACATCGATTGTAGAAAAATCGAAAAATTTGACCGGTGGACACCACTGCGGGCGACACACGCATTGAAAACCCTAGTTCGTGAACAGCCTTGCAGCTGAAGAACCACCCCCACGCATTTCCGCACCAACGGTAACCATGGAAGGCCGTTGGGGGCCCGTTGGGTGCCGGAGGCCGGCGATGTCCGCCCAATGGACCACGGACGACCTGTGCACCAACATCGACTCCAAATTTTCATGTCTCCGCTCGCTCCAGAACACTCTGACAATCGCGGCTCGTTTAACCCAAGGGACCTCGCGAGGACCCCTTGAATCCATGGACGCTTTGGCTGGGGATTCTGATGAACCCAAGGAAATCTCTTGGGAGCGTTTTCACTTTCATTCAATGAATTTGGTGAATTAGGACGCAGTGTAATAACGTCAATTTCCTAAAAATCGGATTTCCAAGGAGGGTCTAACGAGGCCATTTCTCTTCTTTGTCTGTGCCCAAAATATTGTAATGAACCTGTCGGGCGTGTTGCACTGATGTCACATGGGCTTGGAAGCCTCCGCCTAGCCTCGTGCTAGTGGGACCAGCCACCTCGTTGTTTTAGACCATCAATGTGCTGTTGGGGGGGGCTTCTCCTGAAGCACAATGTCCCATGGATCGGCTATGGGACCCAATGCAGGCAGACTCGCTCACGGGAAACACGGCCTGCGCGAATACTGGTGCTACAGTGAAAACATACAGTGGTGCAGTTGTGCTTTGACAGGTAAACGTTGTTGCCTCTTTGTGTTTCTTCTTTCTCCTTTCTACTTTTTTCAAAATCAGTTGTTCTTTGGACTAGCGTGCTATGCTGTCACGGGGTACCAAGAATTTCGCGTATTCTCCACTATCTGTGGAGGCCTAATCCATCCACTGATGGGAAAGCGTCAGACCGTCTGTTGGTTGGGAAGGCTCTTTCCATGTATTTCGATACCCTTGTCTTTGCCTCCACTTGTCAGGGGGGCCCTCTCAAACCAGCAGTGGTAGGAAAAAAAAAAAAAAAAAGACTGCAGTGGTCCACTTGAAACTGTTACACCGGATTGCACATCTGGATTTTGTTCTCTGCAAGTCGCGCGAGTTTGTATCCCCTGTTTAACATTTTTAAGTTTTTCAACCTGAGTGTTTTTTTCTGGACATGTTCACTGATTTCAGCAATTTTCTTCCGTGTTGTCTTTTGTTGCCTGGATGCACACTCAAGGCGACAAAGAAAAACACAAAAAATGATTGTAACTACTAAAAATGGAATGAAAATAAAGCATTTGATCTCATTATGTCATGGAGCAAATCCCCATATTCGAGGAAAACCGAGCTGGCACGCTGGTGCTGCAGATACGTCCTTCCTGTTCAGTGGCAGGATCCATGAATGTTCAGTTGCTGTGTGATCTTTCTGTCAGGCCGTACTCACACTAGTGCTTTTCTAAATGTATCAGACTGCATTTAGCCTCAGATGCATGTGACTTTAATTGTGTCCGGAGCACAGGGAATGTTCGGTTGCTCCTGCCTCTTCTTCTCAGGCCATACTCGTACGAACTTTTCTAAATGTATCTGACTGTAATTAGGCCTGGCCCTTGATGCACCTGACTGAAATCATGTGCAGAGTGCAGTTGAAGTAGTTTTGTAGTGTGAGTATGGCCTCATGAGGCCTGTTGTGCTCCTGGGAGCAAAATGTAAGGAAATTATACAACTGAAAGCGAAACAAAAGAAATGTGATTATGTGAGGAAATTATAGTGCCGGAGCGAAACGAAAGATTTCAAATGACATTTTCTCTGTTTTTTCACCTAAATTAGGTTGTCGGAACCGGCAAGGGTTCCTTCCTCATCCATTCCTTTTCTTTTTTTTCATTTCTTTGTTTCTTTTTTTTTTCAAGAAAAAAAACTCAGTTGTCGGCAGCTGGATGCCTATAACTCCACTGTCGGGAGTTTCACACCCAGGGGAGCTCTCTTGACTGCTCAGTCCAGCTGTCCGAATGGACGACATGTTCCTTCCTTGGGTTGCTATCATTTGGGTTGTCGGAGCTGACCGCATGTTCTTCTTCTTTCTTTTTTGTTTGTAGTTTCTTTTTCTTAAGATATACTAAAAACTGTCTGGAGCTTCACGCCCAAAGCTCCGCTGTCGGGAGCCTGATGTCCAGGGGATCTGCCTTGGTTGCCCAGTCCAGCTGTCGGAACAGACCACATGTTCCTTAGTTGGGTTGATGCCACTCAGGTGTCAGAACTGACTGCATGTTCCTCCCTCGGGCCGTTCTCACGATAGCTGTCGGAGCACACATGTTCTTCATCTCTCTGGGTTAGGTCTGTCAGGACGGACTTGTTTTATCTTCTGGCAATCACAACCACCAACATGGGGTAGGTGTTGCTGTTGGGATGTCAGAAAGAAAGTGTGGGATGCTGTCAGGATGGGAGAGGGAGGTGGTCGGAGCTTTTCAACTCACAAATGCAGACTTTGGCCAGAGATCACTGCAGAGACATTTCACGGATTGAGAGAGATGCGGAGAAACATGTGCGATAATGATAGTAGCTGTTGTAGTGATGTGCTGAAAGAAAAATAAAAATAAAAATCATCATTTATCTTTTTGCTTGGTACATTCGCAGTTTAGTGTTTCTTTTTGTCCATCACTTTATGAATGTTTTTGGCGGCATACCGATCTGTTAAAGGAACAAGTATTCATCTTTTTCTCTTCAGCTCACTTTTTTCCCCCTCTTCTTCTCTTTTCTCCTAAGGCTGTTGGGAAAGTAGGTTAATAGGCTGCCAAGGTTTAGGAATGGTGAAACCAGCCAGGTAAGAACACACAAGGTCTGACTGGGCCACTGTTGATTTCCAAAACATCAATGGTCTACTTTTGTCCGTCAGCTGTTACTCCCTCCTTCCTACGGTGGTCGAGGGCAAGTCCCCGCTGCTGCTATGTTGTGCTCAGAAAGCGCCAACATGGCCGTAAACAAACCCAGTTTTGCACTTCCTTAAGCCAACAGCACAGGGTCCGAGCCTCGCAGAAAAAAATTGGTTCGCGTACTCTGAAAATTTTGCTCCTCCGGCGCACCAGACCACAACGTTTGGTGGCGCCATCTAAAAAAGAAAAGAAGTGCGCCGCTTGGCGTGCAGTGGAGCGCCCCCAACCTCGTGTGTACTGGTGGTTTGACGTGGACGGAGCATCAATGAGACCAAGCGAGATCGAGCCCTCGGTTTGACTGCACAGTGAACACAACATCTAGCAGCAAAAAATGTGTCGCACACTTTCCAGGGGCCATGTCCCACTTGCAAGAGTACTAGACCAGGATTACGCTGCTCCACACTGTGTGACATTTGATCGAGCCATTGGTTCCCCGTTTTGACCGCAGAGTCGGGCTACAGGAAAGGTAGCCCAGTTTCTTAGGTAATGGGAAAAGTGTGCTGAACAAAACAGCGTTGCTCCAGCGGTGGACACGTTTTGGAGTTGTTTCCGTGCGGCGTTTGGGCGTTTCTTGCATGGTGAAGGGGTGTGCAAGAGAGCAAAACCCTCGGACATGGGGAGGTCATGCAGGCTGGCAGGCACTTTATGAGGAGCGAAATGATGCGGCCAGCCTTTGCGCTGTCAGAGGCAGAATGGTGGCCTGCACTGCCCATAACTGCAGGGTGCATGTCAGGTGACAGTGCAGGCCGGATGCATGCAGTCTGGACAACGTTTTTCATGATTACCGATTCACATTCCCGTTTTTATTTTAACCCATGTAACCGCCACACACTGCCAGGCAAAAAAGTCTAGAAACCAAAACTAAGCCCCCGCTAGTCGGACATGTAGTATGCTGGAAGAGCTTACTTCTACAAGGCAATCATCAACCAAGTTAAACTCAACAATCACAACGACCTCCCAACCGAACCAAACTAGGCTAGCCAGGTCAATTAATGAACCACGACAGCAAGAAACCGAAGTCGGCATTCATGTGTAACGACATATAGACAAACTCGACGAAGAGTTGTAGTCGTAGTAGTAGTAGTAGTAGTAGTAGTGGTAGTAGTAGTGGTAGTAGTAGTAGTGGTAGTAGTAGTAGTAGTAGTAGTAGTAGAAGAAGAAGAAGAAATAGGAGTAGCAGGGGGAGGAGGAGGAGGATATGCCAGATGGAAAAATCCCGAACGCGATTGTAGTAGTAGTAGTAGTAGTAGTAGTAGTAGTAGTAGTAGTAGAAGAAGAAATAGGAGTAGCAGGGGGAGGAGGAGGAGGAGGATATGCCAGATGGAAAAATCCCGAACGCGATTGTACTAAAAAATATAACAATGTTGCACAGTGGAAATGACCCGGTGCTCTCCTGATGTGTGATTTCTTTTTCGTTTTAGCTCTGTGGTAGTGTATATGTATTATTCATGCAACAGCAATGTAGTATAATCTGTAGAAGGGATTAGGGTACTGCAGGGCAGGTCATGGCAGACCGCTACTGCTTTGCACTGTCCATGTGCATCCCTCATCTTCTACGGAACTCTTGACTGTTCCCGTTGCACACTCCAACAGAGTGTGTCGTCAATGTAGCTGCATTTGGGGCAACTTTCAGTATAGATACAGTGATAATGATAATGACAGGGCGTTCCATTTGGGTGAAGACTGTAGTCAGATGTGTTTATTTATTCGGCTTTTGCTGATCTTTGTATAATGTCCATTTGGTATACACAGGATTTGCCCAAATGGGGAATGGCCATCTTTATCAGAGTTAATTCCACATAGACCGGGGTTAACTCCGTTCTGATTTGGGAACCTTAAACCTCTAATACGCGCCCCAGCCTTAATGAGTTTTTGTCGCCACAAGCAAAACTAGGAGGCGCTGGCGGCCAGGGATGCCGTTGAAAAAAAAAATCGGCGGCCTCCTCAGTGGTGCAGGTTTCATGCTAACACCCGCGGTCCGATTGTGGTGTACTGGTGCTTCAAACCGCCATTACCTTCGGGCCGCTTTCTGCCGAGGCGAAGTACAATCGAGCTTCAAGCTTTTGCGGAATTGCCAGCACGACCTTTTTGTTTTGTTTTGGCTGGCTCTGCTAGCCATTTTGGTCCGGTGGCGCCCCGGCCTCCGCCGACCTCTGAAGAATGCAGTATAGGTTACATTTACGACGTCGCCTTCCAGTGTGAAAGATAGTGGTCGCTTGAACCACCACTACCTGCAAGCCTCTCTTTGCGGAGGCGGATTCCCCCCTGTTCGCCAAGCTTTGTCGAAGCACCAGAGCCTCTTTTTATTCTCGGCATGGCCTGGGAAAGGTAGTGGTGGCTTACGTGTCCTTGCACCATCCCAAATAGGTGTGAGAATGCATTCTTCGAATATCAAATTGCATGATCATTTTGAACCACCGGGCTCCTCCGAGAGCTTCGTTCTTCTGACCCCGATTTGTGGCGTTTGTCATTAAAAAACGAAATGTTGACTAACGCAGTCTAGGCGGTCGGGGACATCTGAAGAAAACTGCAAACGCCCTGTGTGATGTCCCTGGAGCGTGAGAACGATAGATGAAAAGGGGGGGGCAGGATAGGCAAAGGAATAGTCAAGATGAGGTATTGATTAGATGAATGCAGTATGGTGGGAGGTTCAAACCGCCAGTACATGGCTGTGGGCAACTTGAAGACAAGGAGAGGTTCTCTTCGAAATATTCCGAGGCTCGGGGCAATGCCGCGCCAGCCAAAACGACACAAAAACACCGCGCTGTCCCCATTGTCATCTCGAGGCTTGGGGCAACCAGACCAAAACGGCTCTTCGCGCCACCCAAAACGAAACAAAAACGCCGCGCTGGGGCAAATCCGGCGCGTGCACAAGCGCCTCGCAGCATGAATTTGGGTACTTAGGAGGCTTGGATCTACCCGTGGTGGTCTTATCGTGCAGAATGTACTCTCTTACATATGATGACCGAAGATAGGCTGAAGGAAGATGACTGGACTTCCCACCAGCCTAGCTTGGAAATGGTGGCATTGCATTGCAGAGGAGGATGTAAGGGGAGAAAACATGGGCCTAGAGGAGGTCACAGGGAGGGTACCAGGGTACCAGGGCCTCCAACACACGAAAAACTGAAGGAGGTGAAACCTCAGTGCTGTGTCGTAGTTTGGGGGAGTGGGCTTTGAGTAGCAGGGATGCAGCTTAGAAATAGCTAACAGCCTGGCTCAGTTGGTAATCCACACAGCTCTTGCAATACAGACTTCAGTTCGAACTCCCCATGGGAAGCAGATGAGTAAAATACTGCAATTCTGAATTACGTGGGGGGTGGTCAGCTCAAATGATGAGATGTAGATAGCAATGAGCTTTGCAGACAGGCATAGACTGGACCATTGTCTCATTAAAAAAGAAAACAGAAAAAAAAAAAAAAAAAAAAAAAAAAAGATGGAACAGGTCATAAACCGCCAGTACGTGCCCCCAGCCTTGCTGAAAAAAAAACTTGTAGCCTACGAAAATTTGCTCTGCACGAGGAACAGGTCATAAACCGCCACGGTCCGCCAGTAGCTGCAGAGAAAAAAAAGAAAAAAAAAAAGATGGAACAGGTCATAAACCGCCAGTACATGCCCCCAGCTCAAACTTGTAGCTACGACGTATATATCGTCACAAACAGAACTGCCCGGTAAACCGTAGGCAGAGAGAGAGAAGAGGACAACAAACGAGGGGCTGTGACAAACTGTTTCGTCGGAGTTTCACCGACTCATTAGGAGGCTGAACCCTCAACAGTCTGCAGAATCCCCTCACTGATTACACTGTAAACGATAATCTACCTTAACCAAAATCAAAGTAGACTATCACTCACCCATATATATATATATATATATAACTCCGATGAAACAGTTTGTCACAGCCCCTCGTTTGTTGTCCTCTTCTCCCTCTCTGAGTACGGTTTACAGGGCAGCTCTGTTTGATGATATATATACATATCCGGTAAGTGTTTCCTTTTCAGGCCCTGGCATTCTAAAGATCTGTTTCTCCTCCTCTCATTTGTTGCGTTTTGAAAACCAATACCCAGATCTAGGCATGGAAAACCAGTGTCGGTGTTGGAGGTTCCTTTTCTTTTTTTCCCTCTTCTTTTTTGAGCCATTTCTTATTAGTGTGTATCAATCGTTGTGCAGGGCCCTTGTTCATCTTTTGTGTATCGTTCTAATTTTAACGAATGCCTCGAAGGACTTGTTTTGTCCAAATTATTTCGGTGAAAGTGAGGTCCGTTTCATGAACTCCGAAGGAAGAGAAGAACACAAGTCGAAAGATTGCAGTTTTGGAGGCTATATGCTTGTGCCGCGAGGTCATTTTGCTCTGCACGTGCATTCTCTGCTCTTCACCTAGATGTCAATCGGATCCTTTGGGTTTTATGCACGTCTTCAGCATCTGTGTGTCTCAGTAGGCAGTTCTTTTTAGCTATTTAGTTATGTGTATTGTTGGGGGATGATGTGGTCAGGTCCTTTTTTTACGGCTGAATTAATTTTTCCAGACAGTGTAATGGTCCCAAGTGCGGCTGTGCATGTCATGTATAGGAGATAGTGCTGACTCTTCTCCTTTTTCTTTTCTTTTCTTTTCTCAAAGGGTGACGGACGGCCTTCCGAAGGTAATTCATAAGTATTGTTCTTTTTTCCTTCTCTTTTTTGTTTGCTTTTTTTTCCCAGAATTATTGGTATTATATGTTTTTTCTTCGGGATTCGGACTTGTTGATGGGTGCTCCACTCAGCCACATAGGCTGGGTACCACCTACTTGTTCATGGGTGCTCCACTCAGCCAGATAGGCTGGGTACCACCTACCCTTGGCACCGGAATACAATGCCTGGTCATTATGGTACTATCTAGTCTGGAAGTTGCTTCAGAAAATACAGTTCCCCCCCCCCCCCCCCCCCCCCCCCCCCCCCCCCCCCCCCCCCTCCATCTATTGGTGGGGAGCGCCAGCTATTATGACAAGGGTCATTAATACTCATTATGTGTTGTTTTTGTTTTTTTAAACAAAGGTCAGTTTTTTTTTTTTTTTTTTTTTACTTTGTTTTTTAATTCAAAAAAAGGGCCTCCATCTATTGGCAGTAAGAAACATGGATTGGTGTTCCCAGTACTGATTTGCTTGTCTCACCTTGACGGTTTTTCCGGTTTTTCCTTTGTTTCCTGTCATCCAACCTGTTTGAAATGGACAGGGCCGGCGAATTGGGGACTACCCGGAAGTGCCCGCGGCTTTCTTCGAGCTGGCTCATCAGTACCTCATCTGGGCTCCTGAGATCATTTTGACTGTTCCGGTTCTCTCGGATATATTCCGCGCTGCAGCAGTCGTTATTCTTCATCAAGAGGGGCAGTCCACCCGGTGCGCGCTTGAATTTGTAACGAACTTTATTGTCCCCGATGAGGCACTCGTGAAGTCGTCGCACAGCGCCTGGAAGAGGTGAGAATAGAAGAATCCTTTTTAAAAAAAAATCATTTGCATCAAATTGCATGTACTTTCATAGGATGCAAGACATGGACAGTGGGAGAGTCTTCTTGCTGTTGTGAGGGTATTATTACCTATTCCATTCTTCAGAGACAAGTGCCTCATCAAGGACAATAGTAGTCCGAAGTAGCGACCGACAGAGAGGAAATATCTCAGTGACAAGTCGACCACATGAGAAAGGAACACATCGACGGAAATCTGTGTGCAGGTACAGGTGTGGGTTTCTAACTTTCTGGATCTTTTTTTTTTTTAATAAAAGAAAGAAATTGAACCATTTCTCAACTTGTGCGTGTCATCCTTGCGCAGGCGCCCCATCCTTTTTTTTTTTTTTTTTGGAAAAACACCCCCACCAGTGTTAGTGATGCTGATAAGAGAAGACACCACTAGCACCTGGGGAGAGGCTCCATCTATTGGTGGGGAGTATCACCTGCTGGAAAACGGGTCCAGCGTCCCATGCTAATCTCTACTCTTTCTCTGTATCATTCCAAGTAAAAAAAAAAAAAAAAAAACGGTTTTAAACTTTAAACCACTGGCACCTTTGGCATCAGGTTTCAACAAGTTATGGCCAGTACCCGAACTTTCAGGAGGACGAGCCTGACGCTGATCAATCTGATCGGCAGCCGTTGTTTCGTTTCGGCCTCCTGAAAGGTCGGAGGCCGAGTATTTTCGAACCGACGAAGGTACTGGTGGTTTAACGGATGTCCTGAAAGACTCTGTATCTAACATCGTTGGCGAGACAAGAAAAAGAAGAGCGTCTCTGGCCCATCACTCACTCTCACCATTCTCTCTTCAAGTCAAACTCAGCCGTGAGAACTCTCTGCAGAGGAAGGTTCTCTTACCACGACTGGGATAGAGGCTTTGCGCTTTGTTGAGTGAAGGAAAGGATCTTCTGTCATATGAAGGTAGGCGGGGGGGGCTGAGGGGGGGTGGCTTTCGCATGGTTGTTTTGAATGCCTTTGGCTCTAATCTATTCGTGGGGAGCAGCCCGTGCTGGGAACCGGGCCCAGCGTGCTAGACAGCAAGATATACGCGGCGGTGAATCGACCAGGTGGGGAGCAGCATGTGCTGGACTCCAATCTACTCGTGGGGAGCAGTAGGTGCTGGTGGCTCATTTGATGGTGTGAGATGACAGTCATCCAGCGCATGCTGATTGGACATTGTGGATTATCTTGACCATACGTGGGATCTCCGTCCTGCGCTGGGGTGAAGTGCTCATCTTGGGGGTTCGCTTTCACCCCAGCACACTATACGTGGGATCTCCGTCCTGCGTCTGTTCATTATAGCTGTGTTCTGTGCAAACAATAAGTCCGGATGCAGCCATAATGACCAGGCATTCTATTACCACCATGTGTGTTCTATCCTTTGTGCTGGCTGACCGCTTATCTTTCTCTTCCGTTCCTCTTTCCTTTCTTTTTGCTTTGACTGTCGTCGCCGCTGATATCCATTTCGCCTTTTCTGTGACAAGAGGCTTTGTATGACAGGCGCTGCTTATGTAATTTTAACAACAGCGTGCTCCTCCTCCGGGAGTTGGGACTGTCAGGGATGGAGTGTTATGGCTGTCCACCTTGTGAGGCTTGTGTGCTTTCTATCATCCTGAACCCCTCTGCCGTTTGGCGCGCTTATTGTTTTTGCAGGAATTGGTCCCTAATTGAACAATGTGTTTACGAGAATGGGCAGACGATCGTGTCCGCCCTACTCATAGCTGCATGTGATATCCTTCCCCCACAGTTGCATCGAGCGGTGGCGAAGGCGATGTCTGTTTTGTGCAGCAGTTTCCCTTCCCATGCCGGCCAGTGGGTGGCGTCTATATTCCGGCATCCGGAGTTCCCGGCGATTCAAAGTGGCGCCCTCAGACCGATCGACCAAGGACGGTTCCTAGAGTTGGTCACTCGACAGCCGGCCCTTCCCATCGCGCGGTTTCAAGACATGATGGTGGAGTTCATCAGTGTGATGAGAAAGAGATCGAACGGGGACGTGCTCCTAGCGTACAGGTAAGACAGGCAGCTTCACCCACTCCTGGCAGTTATGTAGCGTTCATCTGGCGGGCAGAGGCTACTCTGCATTGTACAGTGCAGCAGTAAAAGCACGGCCATCCCTGTTGTGTATTTTAAGGTTATAACTTATAATACTTTTGTCTTGTTGTATTGCTACTTGAGATTAGGTAGACAGAGGGGGGGAGGGGTGGGGGGGAGAAATGTGGTGTGGGTGGTCATTTACCGGGGGGGCAAAGGAGGGGGGGGGGAATCAGTGGGGACTAGCTCTAATGGGGGTTAGAGAGAGTGTAACTTGTGTGACAAAATTGCTGCTGGTTAGTGAGTTTGTTTGATGGTTGGTTTAGTCAAAAGAGGAAGCTGGTGGTTCGCTTAGACCAGAAATGGACAACGGGACCCCGATAGGGAAGGAAAGAGAGGGAGTGTATGGAAGCAAGAGTGTTTTGGTTTGGTTGTTTTTGAAAAGCGAAACTGAATTTGGCCACGTTTGCGGTCAAAAGCATTCAGAAAAGTACAGCTGTGATTGCGTTTAGACAGGACACAGGAAGGCGTTGGGTCTTTTAGACCAGCCAACAGAACCCAGATAGGCCAGGACACTGAGGGAGTAGTGTAAGGAAGCAAAATTTTTTCGGTGTCAAAATTCTCTCTGGCTGTCTTTCAAAAGCGACGGAATTTGGCCGTGCTTGTGGCCAAAAGCATTTAGAAAAAAAGGGCAGCTGAGATGGCACCGCACCTTGTTTGCTTCCTGTGTAAAGGAAGAGTGGTGCCCTTCTCGGATTTGGTGCCATTGAGTGCTAGCAGATCAGATCGGTATGGAAGCGAAGGTTTCAGTGCTTTCTCTCTGGCTGTGTTGAAAAAGTGACTGAATTTGGCCATGTTCGCGGTCAAAAGCTTTCAGATAACGAGAGCCGAGATGGCATCTTGTTTGCTTGCACTGTAGAAGAAAAGAGTGTTGCCGCTCTCGAGTTTTGTCCTGTTGAGCGCTAGGTAGTCGATGAGATCGCTCTTTGTTTCCTCGATTAGGGGATTGTAACTGTCCTCTAAATAGATAGATAGGAGGGAAGTTGTGAGGCCTTTCTCTCTCACGTTGTCCTTGTATACAGCCATGTATATGGTCAGATGCATTCAGGAAAGCGCGAGTAATGCCGTACTAATGCCTTAACATGGACTTGGAACCAAAACACAAGCCATGCCTCCTTGTCAGGAGTATGCAATCCCAAGGTGTAAGTAAGGTTGGACTTTTCAACAGTCATTCTGGAAAAAGTACAGCTGTGCACATGCCTTAGGGAAAAAAAAAAAAACAAAAAAAAAAACAGAACGTCCAAGCAGGTCATGCTTCCTTGTCGGGAGTATGCAATCTGACTGTGTGCCTTCACATGGACCGTGTGAGGATGGTGAGAACGTGTGACAACACTGCGGTCACGCAGTTATGTGACATGATGTATGCATGGAGGTCACCCTGCAGCGGAGAGGTGATGCTGCTATGGATGCCAGGTACTCTGTGAATAATGGAAAATGGCTCCAAAGTTGGATTTGAAATCTTGCTCGCCGCGCCACTCGTCAAATTTGAAGAAGAGAAAAACTGCTGCAGTTCGAACTCTTGGTTAGCTCGGTGTGGGAAGGAAGGGAGAATCTCTTGTGAAGAAATGCTGAAGCCCTCTTGAGCTGGAGTGTAGGAGGACAGCCAGGAAGGAGGAGAAGGAGGAGGTGTTTCGACACGCTCAACTGCCTTCAATGGACGCCGGATGGAAACGTGATGGCCGAAGTGAAACCTGATTCTGAAAACATAATGTGTTCTTCAGGAAGAACAAGGAAGGAAGGAGGGTATCGGCCCCGAAGGGTGCGACCGACCGAAGTGGGTGGACTTGGGGAAGCGTGGTACTCGGTGGCAGTGCCGACGTGTCAGTTTAGGGAGGCTTCTCACAACTTCTGACATGGCAGATCATGGTGGCTGGAGATGGCGCAAGGAACAGACCTCACAATCAACGAGTGTGGTTTTCTGCATTCCTTGGTGTTTTTTTTTTTTTTGTTGCGCTTTTGTTGCACTTTTGTTTCTCTTTTGTATTTTGCAATAAATTGAACTCACCGCCTCTGTTAGAATGCCAGTGCGTGTGCGCATGCACATGCGCGTGTATGTGTAGCTGCGTCACTGTGTGTGTGCGTGTGGAAGGGAGAGAACCTGTAGGTAAAGAGAAAGGCACACACAGAAATTGGGGGGGGGAAGAGAGAGAGAGAGAGAGAGAGAGAGAGAGAGAGAGAGAGAGAGAGAGAGGAAGGATCTGCATGGAATGGAGCAGCAGAGGGCAGTGGCTGGGACCGTAATGAGATTCCCTCTGGTGACTTGTGATGTGTTTTGCAAAACACGTCTTGAACAAGACAATACAGAGAAGAAGGTCGGTATTGAGGGCATTCTTGAACAAGACGATACAGAGAAGAAGACCCTAGCGCAGCAAGTCGCTTCTGTGCGAGCATAACCGTGACAGGGTGGACCTTGCAGCTACTCGCTCACATGGTTAACCTCTTGGACCTGGGGTAAGCACCAAGAGAACCCCCTCTTGCGACTCGTTGGGGGAGGCTTTTCCTGTGTGGGCATTCTCGATCTAGATGGGGATGCGAGTGTCAGCCCTCTTGTGGGACTTGGGAAATCGTTTCGCTGAAGTTTTTCCACGTGGTTCCTTGTCGTACCACGTGGTTAACCTCTTCGGACTCGTTGTGATATTTTCACAAAGTCGCTCTTCTCAAGCCATAAACAAGAGGAAACGTTGTTGATCAGCATGCTGCGATACTCCTTACGGGAGAAAAGGATTTCGCATGCATGCATGGAAGATTAATGGGAGTGTTTTTCATTGTTTTCTTTTGTTCCAACTGGCTAGAGCAGATGAGAAGGGGATTGACTCGACGGTGCTATTCCGTTTGTTCATCATTTACCGAATTGTAGCATGCACACTGCCGACTCGACGGTGTTATTCCGTTTGTTATTTTCACGGCCTTCATTGTCAGATCGGCAGTGAGTGTGATCCATTCACTGACCGACAATGCGAAGATCACCTGTGTGGATGCAAATGCGAAGCGCATGTGCGAATACATACGTACATATATTTTGCGTAGAGGTGGAATGCTTTCAAAAGCATAGTTTCGATCCGCTTCTAGAAAGCGTCTGGTGTTTTTCTAAACCCCTCTGGACAGGGAAGAGGCGCTTTCTGCAATTACTACTAGACAGTTCCGTAGACGGTTTTGCCATGATAGATTGCGGCATTGTGTTCTTGACTTAGACTCTTCTTCTGTCTGTTCATGTGGCCGTCTCTCACATGAAGCGGGACCATTTAGCGGGTCGAAAAATGGGACCTATGGGACCACAAGGAGGGAAGCCTGAGTTTGCGACGGCAGATACGCCCTGTCAGACTGTCGGAGAACCAAGGGGACCAATGGGACCAATGGGGCCAACAGGGACGACAGGTCGATGTATACTGGGCAACCTACAGAAAGTAGTGAAACCTTTTGTAAGAAAAAAGGTAGGGTCTTTTTTTGACCAAATGGCAGAGGCTAGAATAGGGTACCCAGGTTTAGCGGGTGGGCTCATGGACGGGTCTTGGGAATGGTGAAGATGGCTGTTGCTGTATGTACTACAAAGGTCATGAAAGGCATTCAAATCAAAGAACCTTGTAGTGAAGCCTGCAATGGAACATCCCTTTAGACTCCTTTTGTCAGAGTTTGGGAGATTGCAACAACTTGCGGGTTTTGATCAACTCGCAGGGGAGAGGGGTTGTGTCGTTTATCAGGTGACGGAGCTAAAATAGAAGCCTGCATTGCGTAGAGGAAGTTGGGGGGGGGGCGGCGGGGTTTTTGGGGGGGGGGGGGGGGGGGGGGGGGGGGGGGGGGGGGGGGGGTTGGCAAGGTGTAAAATCAAGCGTTTGTGGAGGTGGAGGACACGCAGGGGGAGAGGAGGGGATGTGTTATTCATGAGGTGGGGGACTCACATTTGGACCATGTGACTTTTTTCCTCCCAATGTCAATCATCTGTGTTTCCGGCGTGGTGTCGTATCTCTGGCCGTCACTTGTGCAAGTTTAAGGGCATACTCACACGAGCATCTTTATGTTTCTCACGGCATTTAAGAAGGGCAGGCATGGATGTATCTGACTGCAACTACGTCCAGAAACGAGTAAAAGGTCCGAGTGTGAGTACGCCCCTAGGTCTAGAACAAGAAACATTTTGCTGTCATTGTGCTTTGTCCGGCGGCTGGCGAGAAACTCGTACGCACACAATTTATTTTTCCATTTCTTTTTCCATTGTCAATTGTAAACGCGTTTATTTCTTTTTTTTTTAACAAGTTGGGGGCAGGGGGGAGGTGGTGAGAGGGGGGGGAAGGGGGTAGAGGGGGAGAGAGAGGGGAGGAGGGGAGCACATCGTGGATGCATGTGGATTTATATTAGTAGTGGAGGAAAATAATTATTTTATCGTTATTTTGACGGCTGTTGCTGATAACTTTTGACTGTAAATTCTTTCTCTTAGTTCTGTGAATCCAGTCCGATTCAATAATGTTGGCATCAAAGCATGCGGGGGGAGGAGGGGAGCGCATCATGGATGCTTGTTGATTTATTCTAGTGGGCGCACATTTTTATTTGATGCTTTTTTTGACTTGTGTAAACATGTGTAGTACTTGGGTGGGTGAAAGCATGGTACACACATGTAGAATCGTAGATAGATCGATCTCTCGATCAAGAGCTTGGGAGGTCGAGTGTTCGAATCCAGTCCGATTCAATAATGTTGGCGTCAAAGAGTGAACATCATCCTTGGGTGATGGAATATGTGGGACTTAGTCTATAAGCGGTAAAAAAAAGAGTTTCCATGTATCTATCTTTTTTTTTTTTTTTAAATATTATTATAATTGTCTATATATATTGAGCCTCCTGATTCGTCGGTGAAACTCCGACGAAACAGTTTGTCACAGCCCCTCGTTTGTTGTCCTCTTCTCTCTCTCTGCCTATTGTTTACCGGGCAGTTCTGTTTGTGACGATATATA